CAGTGAGGAGACGCAGTGGCTCCACAAAGCCAAGGAGAGAGGCCTCAGAAGAAATCACACCTGCCGGCACCTTGATCTTGGACTTCCAGCCTCCAGAACTATGAGAAATAAATTTCTGCTGTTTAAGCTGCCCGGTCTGCAGCGTTTTGTTATGATGGCCTCAGCAAACAAATACATTGCCCTTTTGTGACTGGCTTATTTCATTTAGCATTAGCATTTCGGACGCTCATCCGTGTTGTCGCATGTATTAGAATTTCATTTTTTTTATAAATTTTTTTTTAACCTTTATTTTTGAGACAGAGAGAGACAGAGCATGAACGGGGGAGGGGCAGAGAGAGAGGGAGACACAGAATCGGAAGCAGGCTCCAGGCTCCGAGCCATCAGCCCAGAGCCCTACGCGGGGCTCGAACTCACGGACCGCGAGATCGTGACCTGAGCTGAAGTCGGACGCTTAACCGACTGAGCCACCCAGGCGCCCCTAGAATTTCATTTTTTATGGCTGAATAATATCCCACTGTAGGGATAGACCACATTTGGTTCATGTGTTCATCTGCTGATGGACGCTTGGGTTGTTTATTGTGCTGCTGTGAACATGTCTCTGTAAGGATCTGTTGGAGTCCAAATGGGGTGTCCTTAAATCACATGCAGTGAGCCCTTTATACAGTGCGCGGCTCACATTTTCCCTTCCAGCCTGGTCTGGAGTCTGGCCCTTCAGCCTGTGTCTCGCTGTTCTCCCCCACAACCCTCCACCACCTTTCACCAACACACCAATTCCTCTCTTCCCCTGACGGCATTCACTCCGATCGATGGGAGAAGTTGTGGCTTTGTGAGTCAGGCACGTCCAGGTTCACATTCAGACCACTCCGCTCTTAGGAGGTGATGTTGAACAAGTTACTGCAGCAGTCTGAGCCTCAGCCTTCTCATTGTGGCATGGTGGTGGCATGCCCACTTCTCGTGACAGGTGAAGCGCCTGGCCCAGAGCAGGGGCATCATTGACTTTGACTTCCTTTTCTCTCCCAGGTCCAGTACTGCCCCCTCCCTTCACGGTTGACGGAAGGCTCAGTGCTGGTGTGTTAGTCAGGGTTCTCCCAAGAAACAGAGCCAGTAGGATGTATGTGTATAGAGAGAGGTCGAGGGGACCGGAAGGTCGGAAATCCACAGGGATACCTGGTGGCTGGAAATTCTCGCAAGAGTGAATGTTGCAGTCTTGGGTCAGAAAGCAGTCAGAGGCAGCATTCCTTACTGTTCCAGGGTGGGGAGCTGAGTCTTTTCTCTTAAGGCCTTCCACTGATTGGATGAGGCCCATCACATTATGGAGGGTGATCTGCTTGACTCAGAGTCTACAGATTTTAATATTAAGTACATTTAAAAAATACCTGCACAGCAATATTCAGACTGATACTTTCCAACTAGGCACCATAATCTAGCCTAGTTAATGCATAAAATTGACCATTGCAGTTGGTACCTTGTCAGTTTTCTTTAGATTGGCCTAAAGATTCAGTGTAATCCCTATTAAAATCCAAGAAGGCCTTTAAATAGCAATTTGCAGGCTGATTGCAAAATTCATACAGACGTGTAAAGGAACTACAATACCTAAAGCAACTTTTAAAAGATCTAAGTTGAGGGGCGCCTGGGTGGCGCAGTCGGTTAAGCGTCCGACTTCAGCCAGGTCACGATCTCGCGGTCCGTGAGTTCGAGCCCTGCATCAGGCTCTGGGCTGATGGCTCGGAGCCTGGAGCCTGTTTCCGATTCTGTGTCTCCCTCTCTCTCTGCCCCTCCCCCGTTCATGCTCTGTCTCTCTCTGTCCCAAAAATAAATAAAAAACGTTGAAAAAAAAAAAAAAGATCTAAGTTGAGGGAGTCACACTACCGCATTTCATGACTGATTAGGAAGTCACAGTGGAAGGACAGACACGTAGATCAGCAAGACAGAATATAGTTCAGAAATGGCTTTAAACACATACCGTCAACTGATTTTCAACATGAGGTGTGAAGGCAGTTGAGTGGGGGAAGGGTGGTCTCTTCCAGTGCTGCTGGAACCGCTGGATGTCCACATGTGAAAATCCTAACTTCAGTTTTTACCTGGCAACCTATTGAAAATTACACAAAGTGGATCACAGGTCTAAATGTAAAACCCAAAATTATTACATTTCTAGGAGAAAACAGGAAAACATCTTGGGGACCTTGGGTTAGGCAAAGAGTTCTTTGAATTTGATGAAAATTAGGAATTTCTGCTTTTTGAAACATACCTCAGTGCATGAAAAGACAAGATGCCAATGGAGACAATTCTTACAGATTACGTATCGGATAAAGGGCTTGTATTCAGCGTATGTATATAAAAAAAAAAAACCATCAAAGCTCAATAGAAGGAAACAACCCATCAAAAATAGTTGAAAGTTTTGAACAGGCTCTGCACCAAAAACACACGAAAGAAGTGGATCACAAAAACACACATGGAAACGTGCTTAATATCATCAGTCATGGGCACCTGGGTGGCTCAGTCGGTTAAGCATCCCACTTTGGTTT